GAGTGCATCATGAGGAGAATATCACACTTCTTGGGTGGTTAAAGTCATTCAGTTTCTGGCCTTGTTCCTCACACCTATTTGATTGATGCCTCTAACAATCAGCCAGCAATGTACTGTTATCTGACAACTGTATATCGTTTACAGAGTTAGGAACAGTGACCTGGCTCTACCCAGACCCAGGAGCCTTAGAGACATGCAGGATCCAGTGGTTGGGTCCACTCACAACAGTCCGTACACAGAGGGGGACTGCGCCATGTTATGACAACTTCTATCAATACACTAAAGCCACTCACAAGAAGAAATCTTCACTGTGTAGCTTATTTACAGAATAGCTAGCCTCCAGAATAAAATTGCTTTACCAGAAATGTCAAGAGAAAGACCCTATATTTGTAGATGTTGGGCTTGTGGGCTGTTTTGACCTCCCAGAGGTCTCCAAATACAACCATATGTGACAAAACAAGGCAGTCAACAGATTGCTACTGGACTTTATGGAATGTGAAATTTACTGTAGATTAGTGGCACTTCCATGGGCTGTCCATAAGCTAGGGCCTTAAATCCTACCAACAGTCTGTCACAGATGGTGCAGCAGAAAAATGTATTCTGAAATTGTCAAAGGCAAAATAGGACACCAAGCTGCTGATTGTGATGTAGCTGAATGTCTGGACTGTTCTCTAAACCGATCATGTAACTCAGTACTCTAGAAAATAGGAATTCCTCATGAATTACCATTAACATTACCAAATGTTCTCACTAGTTATTAGCATGAGAGGCTGTGTCGAGAAGCACGTAGTCAAGGCTGCATGGAGACTGATTCATGATCCATGGACACACTGTAAACATATACTAACGTTATGCAATGGGAAAGAGGCCATCTGGGTCTATTCATCTCCCTAGCTTATTTTGCTCTCTCCAAGTGCCTACCTTCTTGACTGGCTTTTATCTGTAGTTGTCCAATGCATTAAACAAAAACTGTTCGTATGCAAGTGTCTCCTAAACCACCTTATGGCCTGGTCTTTTCTTACCTTCAGTTCATACCCCTTTATATTTTAAACTATCACCATTTGACCACTGTCCCATAGCTTACAATGACTTAAGCACAATCCTCCTTGTCTCTTTTTAAGCTCAATCCATATTGAAATGAACATTTCTCCACCGTACGAGGAACACGTCCCTACTTTGTCTGCCCCATTTTATTCAGGACTCTCTACATGCAACCATTCCCTTCCTTTGTGACACTGACTGTACCAGTTTCATGTCATCTGCCAATGTGAATGCAGTGTTGTGTATTACATTTTCCAAATTATCAATACAGAGTATGGATCTTAACAGTGATGCCTTTGGCTATTTATATATCTCCTTCTCAATCCATACCCATTTATCACTGTTCACGGACTTCAGCTACCAAGCCAATATTTTATCCAATTGAAATTTCCACAATCAGTACCCTACTCATTAATGTTTCATGCTAACATCTTTTGGTGTGATATTACATCGAAAGCCTTCACGAAGGCTAATAACACATAGATTATGCCTGTGGCTTCACCTCTGTCAACTCTCATTGACACCTCCTTGGAGAAGTTGATGAAATTTGTTAGGCATGACTTCCCTTCTCCAAATCTGTGCTGAGTGCCCTTGATTATTCTTGTAGCCGTACAAGAGCATTCTCATCTTTCATCCTGAATCACTGTTTCTAGACTCTCTGAATGGAGATGTCATATTTCAGGTCTCTGGGTTCTTGCTTTTTCCCTTGATCTCATTTTTAAAGTAAGAAATCACATTAGCTTTTCTCCAGGTCACATGCACCTGTTGCAAGTGAAGAGGCAAAAATCTCAGGTACTAGCTGTGATTTCACCTGAATGGTATAGATCTGCTTCCTAAGGATCCTTACTTAGCTTTGGACTTAAAGATATGCTACAATAACCCACCACTTTAATCCCTTGGTTATCACAAATTCATAATAATTCATTTGGCAGAAAGCTTAGAAAGGATTCTAAGCCCTGAAAACTCCTCAGGGAGGGGGTATTCTGGCCCTTTTATCCCTCTGGCCTACAATATATCAGGGCATATTGTGGGTGTGCCAGAGGAATAGGGCACAACTGGAGCAGTGCTCTAGTCTGGAGATTCCTAACTTCTTGGAGGCCATTACTAGATGGTGTAGGTTAGAGCAGCTGTGAGTCTGCTCTAATTTACACATGTAGCCCACAGCAGCCCTAGGGATAAGGGGATCATAAAGATGGCATGCAGGCACCACCCTTTGCCAGCTTGGCCCTAAAATTTTAGTCAGACGTTGAAAAGCTTTTTCCAGTTTGAAGTCTCCTTTTAGAAGAAGACTAAAATGCTAAGAGGTAGTGCCCTGTCAAACAGCAATTTTCCTTTAAAAACAAGCACATGCCACAGAGACCATACTGTTCGCATTGCACATCTTCTAATTAAGTTAATGCAATGGCAAGTAACATTGATCTCTAAGGAAACAGCAGCTTTTAAGGCTTGGATAGATAGTTATTGAAGTCATTCAAGTGCCTCAAAAGCCTGAGGAATAGTTCTGTTTGTTTCTCTATCAGATGGGCTGACAGGTTTGAAATGCTTGTATTTTTTGGTAAGCATATTTGAAAGCTTAAAAAAAGGGTGTGTGTGTATTATAATCAACATACCTGTTTCTACATAGGAGATATTTAGAGTGAGGTGGAATTCTGTATTTCTTTCCACAAATAAGATGTATGAGTGGTAGAATAAGGGAGGAACCAACCATACTCAAAGAAAAACCTGCACTCTTTTGGCTTTACACAAATTCCACCTAATTTCACTGCAGTGAAAAAGCACTTCTCCCCATCAAAAATGCCTTCTCCCCCCGCAAACCATGAATAACCCTCTTTTCCCAATGGAAGATAGGACAGCAGACACAGACCCAAAGAAAAAACAAAAGAAAAGGCATTCCAGAGATCTGGTTTTTCTTTGATTTGCTGGTGCACTTAACCATGTAACTGTTCCAAGTGCACAACCAGAAATGCATTCAGCAGCCCGTGCTTCATTTGACACCTATCGGGCTGGGTGAAACAAACCTTTAGCCAAAGGACTGTTGATCCGAAGCCCACTGAAATAAATGAAAAGGCATCCATTTACTTAAGTAGATTTTAAATCAGGCCCAAGGTGCATGGATGGCCACTTGGGTGCCCCTTTAGGGCAGGCAGAAAATGTCTATAAGGAGCAGCAGGGGTTAATTTGATATGGCCAAGAATTACACTACTTTGAAGGTCAACTGGAATGAAAACATGTTTTTAATCTTCTTATCTACTTACAAACCACTGCTTTTCTGTAGTCATTACAGAGTTAGAGAGATTTTCACATAGCAAGCTGGCATGTTTATCATACATTGACCTACATACATCTCCCTTAGTTTTGTGGATTCTAGAAGAAAGGCAGATGTGGATCCATTGGAGACTATCTGTGCTGATCACATTTCTATCCCTGGAACAGTACTTAGGGGGAAGGATGAGTGGAGAGACCTCTCCTCACCAACACATTTTCTTCTTTGGGCCCCTGCCTAAAGGAGGATCCAGGTGGACGTCCTACAAATTCCCCTCTGTCTTATTTCAAGGACTATCTACAGAAAGAGGATGAGTGTATGACCAAGCTTTCTGCATTCAGGAAATTGAGCATTTGGAGCATGGCCCCATGAAACCAACATATGCTTCCTTCTGAAAGCTCCAATGAAAGGGGAAATTTCAAGATATCTGCCAATCTTAGGCAGGGGATAATCCCTTCCTGATCCCAAATTTGGTGTTCACCTCCCTTCCATCTTCTACATGTCTGTTGACCCAGCACTTTCCCTCCATCTGCAAGAGTGTATCTTGTTCCCAGACACACTGCCAATCAGTCCAGAAAGGTGGCTGTTCAGTGAGCCACCATCACTCAGCAGTAGGTGGAGCGTATTTGTGACCCACCTGAGCTCTGCTGGCCCTTGGTGTGAAACACACTCAGATTCACATCTTTGCCTGGGTTTCCTAAGCCACATATTATCCATGGGCTTCCAGGTTGGCCAAGTGCAGTAGATTGTTCATGTAGGGTGGGATTTTCAAAGGTGAAAGTCAATGAGAGTTGAGCATTTAATTCCCTTAAACATCTTTGAAAACCCCAGGCATAGTTCTCAGCAGCATCTAGACTGGAGGAAGTTGCAACTTCAGTCGAGTCACAACATAGTGTACAAACCTTTTATATGTTTGTAATTTTGTTGTAGTACATACATCTCCCCATCTTCTATTCTGGGAAGTAAAGATGACACATCCAAGATATCATGATACATAATGCTAGCAACTCAAATAAATCTGTATTTTGTTACCGTGTGGCGATACAGATGGATTTATATTTGAGCAAATATTTCTAACTAATTATATGACTTGGTACAAAACAAAATTTGGAAGACACATGCCTAGAAGAAGAATAAATGCACATGTGAATGAGAGTTCAAGCTGGATCCCTCACTGAAATCAGTCATGTCAAATCTATTTTTCTTCCTTTAAACATTGGCGAGGCAAAATTATTATTTATATTACAATAGAACCTATAAAGACCAGACAGTGTAAAGCGCATAACACAACAGGGCACCAAAACACATAATAAGAGTGCCTCTGCCCTAGAGAGCTTACAATCTACATAGACAAGAATAGGAAAAAAAGTATTATCCCCATTTTAACAGGCACAGAGAGTAAATGAGTTGCCTGAAGTCACGTGGAGAGTCTATGGCAGAACCAGGAATCGAACCCACGTCCCATCCCTGGCTCTGTCCTGCCTTGCTGAGTCCAAACCTAGTGTCTAAGCCATAAAACCTTAGCCACAAAAATCCTTCCGCCTATCCATTCACAACCTTTATTTTCCTAAATAGGAAAGAGACACCAGAGAAGGCACTCGAGCTCCCAGGATCAAACTCTTATTTTGAATTCATGACGAACATTCATATCTGTGGAAAAGAATTGGAGAGAGAGGAGAGGCAGACCGGAACTCACCATCTGATTCCGAGGCTGCTCTGAAGATCAAGTAGCTGCTGGGAAGAGGCTGAGTGATGGAACCAACATTTTCTCCCTTTGGACCCTAGAGTCACACACAAACAAGAAAAAGGTGAGGCAAGGAGGAGGCTGTAACAGTTCTGTGAATTTTTCCCTTACATGGGCCGAGTGTATTTGTGAGGGGGAAGAAGAGGAACAGATGAAGTAATTTAGAGAGCTCCATTAGTAGCCAGAATATTCCAGCCAGCGCTCCAAAGTAGTAATAAGATGTTGATACAAGTCTGGCTCAGCCCAAAGACTGATTTATTGTCAGTACCACTAGAAATGTAGAAGCATACCCCCAGAACTGAAGAGATTTTGTTCCTTTAGCTTGTGAACAAGCATACAGAGAAATGGAAGAGAAAAACGTGCATTTACTGCATCTCTTACACAAGACGTTTCAGCACAGCGCTCGCTGCTGAGTCCATCTGCAGTATTGCAACACAAGTGGCAAAAAGCCTCAACTTTCTCCATCCCTGCAAGAACAGCAGGTGGCACTCACACCTCAGATGGTGGCATCAGCCTTTCCAGCAGGCTGGTGCCATGTAAGCCAGTTTGCTCTTAAATTATTTAGTTAGTCCTGCTAATGCCTGTAAATCACTGTGTGTTGTCCCTTCCCTCTGTTGGCTTCTGAGTGCCTTCCATCTCTCTTTCTGCCAGTGTTAGAGGTGGATAAGCTTGGAAGTCAGCAGATGGGGATTGGAGTGGCCCAGTGCAGGCTTCTAACCTGGATCCTTCACTGGCTTCACGTGGCTGACAGAGGGAAACATTCTGGGACATTTCAGTGGCAGCTTTTCTGAAAGGCCACAACTGAAAAAAAGAAGGATATGGTGCTCTGAAAAGTGAGCTAGGAGAGGGCCTGAAGGCTTCACTGTAACTAGGTGTTCTGTAGTGCAATCTCTCTCTAGAAACACCTACCTTAGGGGTTCTAAGAAGAGAATTACTTCAAGGACATAGGGGAGGGTTTGGTTTTTTTTTTTTTAAACTTTGCAGTCTGCAGCTAGGGGGCAGACACTGACCAGCACTGAGCCTCCATGGGAAAGTGCATAAAAAATTCTCAAAGGCAGACTCCAGCTCAGGTTTCCCTGGTGCAAAGGGAAGAGTACATTAGATGTTCCACCCCTTCAGGGAGTGTGGCATTCTCCCATCTGTGATGTACATTTAAGAGCAACAGCTATGCCTGATTGACGCACAGGTGTGCAAGGGGTTGGGGGCTACCTCTGCCCTCCACCTATATGCAGCAGGACACAACCTCGCTATGGAGAAGGGGGAGCCTCTCTCCTTCTGGTTTTCTATTTCCAAAGTGACACCCTTAATCCTCTGTTCCCTCCCTTCCCCACGAATGCATTGCAGGATAAATCACATTGTAAAGAAACAACATAAGCAGAATTCCCTTTGAGAACAAGGATGACAAACAAATTAGTCACTGTATAGGAGGAGACATCACGGACTTCTGCACGTATTTATTCCACCCTGCAGTTGACCTAAAACAGCTCTCTCCAAGGCCCCATTCAAAGTTGTACCTTTAATTGATAGAAAGCTGTGAACACAGCATTTGAAAATTGTTTTAGCACATGGATATAAGGTAGCTTTTTCCATCTCTGCAGGCATCTCCTGCCTGATGTAAGACTTCATATCCAAATCCCATCCTTTCCTACAAATGGTTTTCTGTTTTCTCTGTGCACCATACTGCACCAATTTTTATCCCCAAAATTATATTTAGTGCGGAGGGCAGTAGGATCTGACTTTTTTCAGTGAGTTAAGGGGGACCCTCTAAGCCCCAAACTCATACTAGAATTCTTCATCATTGCCTGCTACTCTCAATTGCTCCTGTGCATGAATGTCTGGCAAATGGATTGTGCAAAGTTACCTGTTTTTTTTTTTTATTTTTAAGCCCTGTTTGTAGGGCTGGGAATGGGAAGAAGGGGAAGTCAGAAGATGGGAGACATGTGGATATAGACATGGATTTGACAACGTGTCCAGTAGTTTACATTCATTCTCTCTGACCCAATTTCTAATCCCTGGGATTTCCAGGCTCTGCAGAGGCTTCATTTACTGTCTTCCTCTGCCAGGGAAACTACAGGTCTTTATTACGCATCAAAACAGGGAGAGCCAAGAAACACTCCTTTCACGAGGTGCTTGAGATTTAGAAACCAAAAACATCTGTATGGAGCTTTGGTATGCAGGACTGGCAAAGCTGGGATTTGATAAGTGATCTGCAGCCCAACAGCTCAAGACATTACTATTGACATAAATGCAATCAGGCAGCATTCCTTGTGGCATTTTTCCTTTCAGGAGCTTTCGGCTGAATGAGACTTTGGAGAATTGTTGATAACACCATAGCATGGATTTTCAATGCACAGATTGAAACCTGCCTTATAGGGGGAAGCCCATGAACAGATGGTGCCGATCCAGGGTACTGACATTTAAAAGAAGAGTAGATAGCACAACGTTTTGAGAGATCTTTATGCAAGTGGAAAAATATTACAGTGACTAAATAATGGTCTGTCTCTTACCATTAATGTACAATGCCTAGCACAATGGGCCCCAACCTCAGTGGCAGCTACTGTAATACAATTAATACAGGGAAGTCTTTGGGTCACTCATCTTCAGGGCACCATCTGAAAAGGATACGTTTGTAGTTCTAAAAAAGGACTGGATTTACGTTACCATGTCAGAGAGTCAGGACTCAGGAAGAATCATGAAAACTAAAAAAGTAGTAAGTTGATGCATACGTTGAAGCTACAGACATTTAGTATGTAGTTTTTAATTTTAATTTTGCTTTTATCACAAAAGACAGGCATTAAAAATATGATCGAGAAGTATCATCCACATGGACGAAAATGAGCAAAAAAAGTTTGGGCTGGATATTAGGAAAGTGTGCCTAACAGTATGATCTAAATATTAGCGGATTGTAAAAGTTTCCGAAGGGAAGTGATAGATGCTCCATCACTTCAGCTACTTTAAAAATAAAATATAAGGGGGGGGGCACGTTCAAAACAATGGGTATATTTGTTATTTTATTTATTGATTTCAACTTCACTGGCACCTACACTGGATTATTTGCTGCCATAGATAGGTGCCCGAGTAATTGAAACAAACAAACATTCCCACACTGTGTTGTCCATCCCATTAAGATAACGCAAACGAAAAAAATCTAAAAGTGTTTCAGCAGAATAGGACCATCCAATACATTACCACATACCTAACCATCTGACTGCTATACAATGCCTCCGTACACAACCCCAAAATAATCACTGTACTGGCATTAACTGATACTCTGCAGTAGCCTGAACAGGCACAGACCCAAACTGCATTCCCATTATAAAGTGGTTTAAAGATATTGCCAGGATAATGTGGGGAAGGTCTCTCGGTCACTGCCTGTGCTGTTGATAGAGAACTTAAGATCTTAGTGCTGTTAATTTAGCACCTTTCAAAACCATGAAATAAAAATGCCCAATCTGTTCTCATTAGGAAGCAGGAATGATCACATCCTAGACTAAAAGCAGCTAACTTAGAGAAGCTATTTAGGCTCACAAGCCTGGTGAGCCATGTAAAATGAAGCAAACTCTCTATCCAGGCAAATGATTCTAATTTATAGTGTGGAAGCCAGTCATTTTTATCAAAGTTAATGCAAATCAGGTGGTTCTCTTAAAGTATGGGTTACACTAACATTTAGAAGGTGCCCGCCTTAATAGTATTACTGTTGCATCTGAAGAAGTGTTTTTTTACCCACGAAAGCTTATGCCCAAATAAATCTGTTAGTCTTTAAGGTGCCACCGGACTCCTTGTAGTATTACTGAAGTTACTAAATTCAGTGATCTTTCATCCTAAATACACTGGTAATCAATTGACAGGCACCTCAGAGTTTGAGATTGTTTTAGTTTAAATTAAATGATTGCCCATTAAACTGAGTTGATGAACACGACTATAAATGCTAGTCTAGACAGCTCCACAAACATTTGTTCTAGAGCTTATGGCTGAGCCCTGGGGTAACCACAAATATTTGTGTCATTGAACAAATGTTTGTGGAGCATCCAGACTAGCACTGACAATTGTGTGAACTGGCAATCAATTAACTAGAGTTAAAACCCAACCACAAATTCTAATCTAGACAATCCCTACGTTTCAGGATCTGTCATCTTGTTTTAACAGGCTGTGGGAATTCTTGGCCACATCTTGGTTCCAGTATTAAAGGTAATAATTTTAACTTGTGCTGGAACAAAGAACCCATCTATAATTCATGAGAAACAGGCTTTCTTTGCACCATTAGACAAAAACCAATTTACATTAGTAAATGCTCCACTGGTTGCCTTAAAAGTATGCAGTGAAGTGACATAAAACAAAACAGTATTTCTGGCAGCTTCAGCATTTGACATCAAGCAGTTCATTAGAGGTGGCCTTTTGCTGCTCTTTTGGTGTTCATCTTGTGGGCCAAAGTGGCTGTGTCACACAACAATCCAACCTGGGGGGTTCCTAATACACAGTTCAAATGCAGCTTCCCTAATATCCAGCTCAAGATATTCAAATGAACTACTCTGACTTTAAAACCCAAATATCTCATGATTTTCTTGTTTTCCATAACAGTGTTCAGGAAAATCCTTCCACTTTTTAATATGCAAAATAGAATATATGTATTTAATCTGACTCCTTTCTTTTGGGTCAGTCCTGCTGAAGGAAAAAGCATTCTGACATCACAGGATGCTTCCAATTTCAAAACCTTACTACTTTCTAATCGTTCATTCTCACTGCACTTTTCAGATGAATTTAATTGACCTCTGTCTGCTCACAAGGAATTGTTGTGGTGATGGACAGCAAATGAATGTCAGCTTTCTTGGGTGCAGGACATGAATCAGATGAACAGAAACTTGAAGGCTGAACAAAAGCCAAGTGGTAGGTGAACTATAACGCCTCATACACCTTTGGGACAAGAGGGTATAGTGCAAAGAAAAGCATCAAGACACAGACTGAGGCTAGGCTAAAAACCTTATAAGGAAACAGTAGCTCTTACTCTTTGTTGCTGAGGTCCATTTAACTTTCTTCCACGAGCTGGATTCATATACCCTTTACCCAGTTTTAGCAGAACTTTATTTTACAAATAGTTCCTTTGACTTCAAAGGGACTACCCATGAAGCACAGCACAATTCAATGTGAGTAAGGCTATCAGAATCTGGCCTCATACATCTGCTCTCCCATTTTTGCCAGACCTTTTGGTGCCAGAGTAACAAATGCCATCAGCCCTGGCACATGAAACCTTCCAGGCATCTCTGCTATGCTGGCCTCCCTGCAGTAACACCATAATCAGAAATGCCTTGTTTAGACTGGTAATATTTCTTAGGGAATTTATATCTGTAGTAACTCTGCACAGATGCTATTTTTAATAGTGAAACAGAGTCTGAGTAGCTAAATGCTTTTTCTTCAGGGCATCAGACAGATGTTACTGTCTGTAAGCAGTGGGGGCATCCTCCTTAATCACAGCTAATGGCAAATGCTGTTTCATCCAACCTTAGAGAAATAAATATAGTTCTTTAAAACTTTGGGTGAGTTATTGATATTATAAGATTCCAGAAATGCCACTCTGCATATCACTCTGATGCCTAAAACGTCTCCAGAGTCAGCAAAAAGAAATGGAAACAGCTATATGCATGGTTAAGAGCTTTTTTTGTTCAGAATGTCACCAGGCTGACTCATCACTGAGTTTTGCAGGCTGCTACTGTCCAATTTTTAGAAGTTCAGTGAGTTTGATTTAATGAATTATACCTGTGTGGTGTACAGGTACAGTAAGGCATGCATCTATGCTAAGTCAAGAGTTGTAGATCATAGAGAGATCACATGTAACTCAACCAATCACCACCCTTACTCTACAGCTAATTTGCATGCAACAATTTCTTTGGTTATATGAGGGAGACTGAACAGATGGTGGATTACCTGGCCCAAAACAGACACCCACATAAAAATACAAGCCTCTCAGCACAAACCCCCTTAGACACAAATTAACACAACCAGCACACGCAGTAACCCCAAACACATAGAGCCCCTCACCACAGCATGTATCCCTCATTCACCACCCACACAAGTCTCCCAACAGAACCCCCACTTAATAATCCCAAACATCACTCTGCAGCCTAGGGTATCTGGTGAGTCAGCCTGAAGTGATGGGAACAGCAATGAGCATGGATGAGAGCTCTTTTTGTTTAGAATATCAACAGGGTCAGTCATCACTGGTATTCCTGGTCTGCTACCATCCAGTTTTTAAGTTCTCAGCCATTTTTGGCTCTCAGCCTCCCCATGACTTTATGAATTATACCCATGTGACAGCACAGCCTTTCAGCTACTAGTGAAAAAATATAAACTGCAGGATCTACATCTTTCAGATGGGTGGAATCAATTATTGATATTATAGTGGCACCTAGAAGTCCCAACTGAGATCAAGATCCTGTTGTGCTAGGCACTGTACACTGTCCCAAAGAGTTTGCAGTTTCAATAGGCAAGAGGGACTAAGGATGGGAGAAAGGAAGTATCATTAACCCCATTTTACAGGTGGGGAACTGAGGCACAGAAGGATTAAAGTCACACAAAAGTAGTTTGTGGAAGAGCCAGGTTTTGAACACAGATCTCCCCAGGCCCAGTCCAATGCTTTAACCACAAGACCAGACTTCCCCTCAATCATAGAACATTAGAGCTGGAAAAGACTGATCAGATCATTCATTCCACCTCGCTTTGCCAGGGCAGATTGTCTCTTGTTCTGCACTGTACAGCACTTTAAATTCTAACTAACCCTCCCACATTCAGCAGATTATTTCATAGTCTAACACATCTGACTGTCGAGGAGCTTCTCCCTATATTCAGACAATCTTCTCCCCTTTCTTTAATTTCAGACACGTATCTATGCACTACAAATTACACTTATATAGCCCACCTCAATGGCTCCACATTCTTTTGATCTGGTATTAAAATCAAATTTAATTTAATCAAGTCCCTAATTTGCCTTAAATAATGTAATCTGTTTTACTAGGAAGAGACAACACTGCCCTTGCAGCCTGCTGGGAACCCTGATTCCCCTCCCCTGAGCATATCCCTCTCTGCCTCAGAGAATTTTGGGGGGTGGGGGGGGAAGGGAAGGTTGTTCAGCTCAGCACGATTCTTACTTTCACAGCCCAGATGGACTGATCCAAGGGGTGGAAGAGTTTAAAACAGAAGCCATCCTTTTTGGAGGGTCTCTCAATCAGCTCGCAGGAATGGAGCAGGATGGTGCCCACCCACTGACCGATCTTTGGTGTTTTATAAATCAGCAGCACTCCTGGTTTCAGAACACACCACAGCTTGGTCCAGCTTTTCAGAGTCCCACGGATCTGGGAGGGAAATAAGCAAAGAGGTTTTGTTTTCTTTTTTGTTTTTTTTTAAATTCTTAAATAAAATATTTTAATCCAGTGCAATGTGTTCAGCATGCACCCCTCTCTCAAAGACAGATTTTGATTCCTTTATTTACGCTGCCTAGCACTGTACTCCTTCAGTAGTCTCGTCAACTTCAGTAGGCGTATTCATGGAAGAAGATATTCCACATGAGTCACGATATCAGAATCTAGCCCTTACCATTTTGTGAGTTCACAGCCCCCTTTTATTACACACAGACACTTATCTTTTAGTTGTCGACCACATGAGAATGATTTGGTGACAATGCTGGTGGACATTTCAATTAGGACAGTAAGTATTTAAAAGGTTATGGTCTAGGCTAAGGGGCCTTAGAAGTTACTTTAATGGTCCACTGTGGGAAACCACAATTAATAGGTTTAATTAAATATCCTCATTTTGTAAAGCACCTTCTCTGTCTGATTTACTTTTCGGTCATGCTCAATGTAAATTCTCTCTTGTAGGCAACACATGAAGCCGGATAGCATGCGTTGCAGGTCAACAGATTCGGCTTTAGCCATTTTGAGGGTAAAAGAGTGTCCAAGTGAGACCTAGCTCCTCTTGCCCAACACCACACATGGGCTGACTCTTCATATGAACCCTTTTGTTGGTCTTGCTGCTGTGATAATACATAATAAATGGCTTGTCACTGAGCTGAAGTTGTTTTAACAGCTTCAAACTCTTCAGGACAAACTTTTTGCACATGAAGACAAATAATAAAATAAATCCTAAATGTTGTACAAAGACATTATTAATTTTAGTTCTCTAGTAGGCTATGCTGCCTCCAGTTGCCTAGAATCCACTGCTGACCACGAACACCAGTTTTTAGATTTGTAACAAATATAAATAAATCCTATTGCCTCAAAGTCCATAATTTTTTTTTAAAAAAACAACACCTTTGTTTTATAAAAGTGTCTGAAACTGGGGGTTTATCATGGAAAGGGCAACTGACCCTTAACTACAGTTTGAAGTGTTGTTGTAGCAGTGTTGGCTCCAGAATACTAGAGAGACAAGGTGGGTGAAGTAATAACTTTTATTGGACAGAAGATGGTCACCTACAGTGACAGGAATCAATGTACAGGACAAGATGTCCCTATGATAAATCAGCAATGCTACACAAACATGGACGTATTCGCTAGTCTCCCGCATCCGCACCCCACAATTTCAATCAAATATTTGTTCTGTGATGTATAAGTTCCAGGGCTCAGTGATGAACTGTCAATACCCATACGTCTTTGGACAAGGAGAAATTACATTTGTCAACTGGTCCAAAGTTTGTTCTGTGTCAATCTAAAAATCAAAAGACGAACTGCTACAAACTTCAAACTTCAATGAAACATCTTGTATCTGTCTGCTTCCAGGCAACTGCCACATCTCTTCCTTGTGCAGTGAGTTAAGAAACAACATTTCTTTGCAAGGAGGACAAAAGGGTGGGGAAAGACCTGCAAGTCTTTCCAACATGGCTGCTGAGACCTGGTTCCCGTTTCATTCTTCTCACTTTCACATAGCCTGGGGTCACTTGGCAATTACAGCATTAGTAGCATATAGCTTCAAGAAATGGAATCACTAGACAAGGTTAAGCAGGGTATTCCCTATTCTCACAACACTCATTTTACAGCAGATATTCAAGGGTGGACTTTCCCTCATACCCCCAAAACAGAAAAAGATAAGCACTGGGGACATGATAATCTCCAAGGCAGATGCCTGGGATGGAAGATTGAGAGGGGAAATATGCTGAGACTTCCACTCATCTCTTCATTCTGAGATAGCAGCACATACTCCCACTTCAGCTCCACTGAGATTGTAAAATGGCTTTACAGATAACTGTTAGAAGTTGCAGCAGGAGCCATGTATATTCTCTTTGACCATCTAGTCTGAAAGGTAAATGCAGTTTTTCCCCAACTCCCAATGGGGAAGGAGACTGGTATTGGACGCACCTGGCAACAATGGGAGGCAGACATTTTGGGAAGGAGGGTAGAGGGAGAAACACAGTGGGGAACTCAGCAGCATCACAGGGACAAGAAGGCCAGACAAAAATCCAGCCTTTTGGTAAAGCAACACCCAGGAATCCGTAGGCAGAAGGGAAAAGAGAGTGTACACACACACACACACACACACACACAAATGGAGAGGGGATTACAGGAATCAGTTGTGCGCTAACAGAGCTGGCTTCTATGTTTTGGCCAAAAAACAAAGCTAGGTAGGGTGCAAATGAGCATTCAGTTAAGGCTGGTTGTCACATGAGCCACTAAACATAGACAGGCCACAATGGCCAAGGCAGGGAGTGGGAAAACAACTTCAATATCCTGGTTGGAAAGAGTCTGATTGCATGAGCTTCAAAGCAAGTACCCCATCAATGAGAGTCAGGAAAAACAACCCCACACACCTATAGAAGGCATCCATCTTGGATCCAACCTCCTTTATACAGGAATATCAAAGAGGCTAAGAACCAGGAAAGATTAGCAAGAAGAATCCAAGTCCTTAACATATGTGTGGAGAGGATCCAAAACTGCTGGACTTGGGGTAAACATGTTGTCTCCAAGACACTGGATGAGTAGGCAGTGGAAGGGGCAGATTTGACCAAAACGAGATGTTGTTTGTTTGTTTCCCGGGGATCCTGCCATTTCACTTATAGAAATCAGCAAGGCCTTTGTGATTGTCCTTCCCTTGAAGTTCTGGCTCCTTCTGTTTGAAGACTAGAATGGAATCCAACACTACTTTTCAATTAGCTACAGGAATTCTCTTTTCCCTACCTTGGTTCAATGTGATTCCTGTCTGCATGTGAAAAACTGGACACTTGATTTTCTTTTTCTACCACCTTATAGTTCTGTGCCTATTTGGGACCCAACAAAAGAACTCTCCTGGATTGAGAGAACTTCCAGAGAAGATGTGATTACTTTTTAAACTACAACTCAGGACAGAATTAAGTGAAGAAAGTACTTGAGAGAGGATCTGAAATGTCTTTGTTCCAATTCCAGTGAGGTTGACTGAGTGAAAGCGAGCAAGTCTTCTCTGCTCACTCGAAGGATGATGCTATTGGTATTACTGCATAAAATCCAAAATGCTACAGGATTTTCTCAACCATGTATTTATCCCTCCACCCTCATAAGTGACGTTTTGCATTAAATACCTTCAGCCAGTCTGCCATAATCACCACACTGGGATCCTTTAGAGCACTGAAGAGTTGCTTGGTGGCTCTTTTCTTCTCCTGTCTGTAATTCTTCTTCTGTACCTGTTTCAGAATGGAGAAAATAGCAGCTGTAAACATGTCCTTTACTGCATACTTTACTTAGAGAAGGGAGGGAACTGCTTACATAATGTATCTGGAAAAGCAATTTATTGTGCAGAGAGAGCCCTCATGAAACTTACCCGGCCTCACACGGGTTCCCTAGAAATCAACAAAATTGTATGTTCTAGTGACAAAAGTATAAGGGAACACAGACAGCAGCCAGGATATCAAGTATCTTCATTGATAGCTAAATTCTACAAGCATTCTTGATTTAATGTTTTTCTTATTAAACTTAGTTCTGTCAGTTACAAAGGTTACACAATCTGCTGTCTGCCTGCCTACAGAGCAATGGAGGCAGACTAGGGAATCCCTGTGAGAAGCTATGCAGAAGCAGATTGGAATTGAGGCATATATAATCACATTTTCACCTAGACTAAATCTCCTGGAAAGTCATCTCTCATGTACACAAATTGAAACCTTTGAACCACACCAGATATAAACTTGGCCACTTGCTTTAAATCAACATGTCAGGCTTAGGGTGTGACACACCTGTGCAGTGGTGAGCAAGCAGTGGTGTCATATCGATGTCAGTATTCAAGGTTACTTTCATTGTGCGGATCACATAGGTTATACCAGAGGGGCTGGCTCTACCATGTGGGCAGAATTGCCTATGGCAGCCAAACATTTGTAACCATTTCCAAGGTACATGAATGTAGGGAACAAGGCACTAATATTTCCCAGTTTGCCAAAGGCAGCAAGAAGAGCTCTAAAGCTACTACTGACCATAATAATAGTAGCCTCTTATGCAAGACTGGTTTTGTGAACCGCCTTCCTTACCCAAAAGCACCAGCTGACCTATTGCTTTGAGATGGTGATGAGAGCTAACTAGATGGTGTTAGAGCACACTCTGTGTGTTACTAATAAGAGCTAAAATGGATTGCAATCCTCCTGTTGGTCGAAGGGCTCTGGAATACATAGATAACTGTTCAGATGCATGGTGATTGTGTTGTTTTGTTCTAATTACAGAATATTAACAACTCCCATATGCAAGACTGGATACAGGAACAAACAGCTCTGAACCTGCAATGACCAAAAAAGAGTGAGCAGCTTGATGGGTCATGGGAAATAACACTCAGAAGTAAAAGGAGAAGTAGTTTACAAGAGGTTTTTTTTTTAAACTATCAATATTTTCTAAAAGGAAATAGCTTGGTGACACTGCACCCCAAGGCAATCCTTATTGTTTTGTACATACCTTCAATGTCTCCTTCTTAGTAAATTTGGCTGTGGGAGACGCACACTCTTTATCAGACCCATTGCAAAGCTTATACTCAGTCTGAAAAAGAAAAGACGAGGAATGTGTTAATGTTAAAATGATTAAGTGAAATGCTTTAATGAAAAGTTGATTACATCTTCCAGGAATCCACTGAAGGCAGATTGTAGACTTCATCAGCACATTAGACAAACTCACTCAGGAAGGGCACATTTCTAGTGTAATCTGTGAACTTCCTTTTACACTTACAATTACTTAGCATTTCCCTCACCCCCCATGTTTCTACACAATTTCCTTCTGCAGATTTCTATCTGTAAACAATCCCATTATTCTCACTCCTGTCTTTGAAAACATCTTGTCCCTTCTTGGATCACAAATTTTAGGACATCTAACATCCTGAAGTAAAAATTGGCCTTTCCTGATGAGCATCAATTTTACCACCACATGTTTTCAATAGTCTTTGTGTTCAGCAGAATTTCAGTCCTCAAGGAATCTAAGAGGACAGAAACTGCTTGCTTACGCACAAAGTCTCTCCTTCACGTTAGGATTGCATGCACCTACTTCTCTCCACTGCATGAACACACTTTAGCAACTACAGCCCATCAGTTACATTGAGAAGGAGCATTATGGAAGAACTTGAATATTTTATTGCTTCTTTTCCTGTGGTTTAGCTAATGGAAACAAGGAGAGTTAGAACCATGCGCTCAGCCACTGGTAAATGGTCTGCAGACTACATTTTGAGAACTGCTGCAGTAACTAAAACGTGAGGGGTTTGACCCCCATCTGGAGTATTTGAAATGCAAATTCCTAACCAGTCACTACTTTCTATAGAGTGTGAAAAATAAGTGCAAAAATTGCAGTTAATATGGACAGGAACACTGTATAACCTATTACAGGTTCTTAAATACTTGCTGCTGGTATTCTTCCACTCGAAAAACAAATAATAATAGTAATAAATAAATAAATAATACTACACATGACACTTAGAAATGAAAACTTGAGTAGTATATCAATACCTTTTTTCTATAAATAGATTTGGCCAACAATATTACAAGCATTTTTATTAATTAGCCTTGCTCAGAGACAATTCTTGTGTAATTTTCAGCTTCTGCCTCTGCCCAACTATTCAGGATTTTAATTTTTCTGGAAGACCATGTTCTCGCTCTCTAGCTGCAATGCAGTCTCTTGCATGTTCTACATTGCCTCCCCACATAGGCCACCTTCTGACAGACACAGGATTTACAACAGAGACCCACCCTGCAGCTAAGACCTCTACTAAAAAGTTAGGTGCGCATAACTAGATCATTCAAGGCTGTGAAAAATGTCATGCCCTGTGTGATGTAGTTAAGCCAATGTAAGCTCTAGTGTAGACACTGCTAGGTCAGTGAAAGAATTGACCTAGCTACTGCCCCTTGGAGAGGAGAATTTTACTACAGTGATGGAAGGGGTTCTTCTGTTGGTATCTACACAACAGAAAGTGGCTGTAGCATTTATAGGGGTCTGTAGACATACCCATACAGAGAGAATTCTGCCCTTAGCGTCTGTGTCACATTTCAAAGGCCAGTATTTCATATTTGAGAGCTACACTGCCACTTTTTTTTTTTTTTTAAATGAGGGACCTTCTCTAAGTGCCAGAAGGCTTTTTGGGAGAGAATTATCTGGGATTATAACAACATTATGTTTTTAATAAGTCCAGAGAATTAGCCTCTAAAAATTGTCAGAAGAATTGTATATATTTATTTTGCACCAGTCAGCATGGTGCCATGTTCTTGAGCTGCAGTTATGAGCCAAACATTGGGGGAAGTGAAACACAAGGGACTAAGTACAAAGAACACTTCAGCCTGGGAAAATTAGGTCAGCATAACTACATCACTCAGGGGGGTGAAAAGTCCCCACCCTGGAGGGGCATAGCTAAGCTGACCTAAGTCCCAGTGTAGACAATGCTAGGTTGGCAGAAGAATTCTTCCATTAACATCACTATTGCCTCTCTGGGAAGTGGATTACCTACGCCAACAGGAATTTGGCTCTTTCGCCATTGTAAATAGGAGAGGAGGTGGCCCAAGAGACAGCAACACTTCAAAAGTGACCTACACCATGAAATAGCTTGGGAACCCTTAATCTAATATCAGATGGAGGGTTTCTCTTAGAAACAATATGGAATAGCCACATCATCCTCAACAGCACTTAATCAGTGTTGTTTTCCATTTACCTTAGCTACTATTTTAGACGAAGGCTATTTAAGGGCCTGATCCAAATACCACTGGAGTCAATGAAAAGACTTCCATTGACCTAAATGAGCTTTGGATCAGGCCCTTTAAAAGGAAGGATTGTCTCATGTTTACACTGGCCTAGGACTCAAATCATCTGCGTTCCAGTGCCAGCCCTGCCATAACCTTCCTGTGTGGCCTTGAGCAGGTCACTTAATCCATGTCTCAGCTTCTTAGTCTAACATACTTCATGGTGATGGTAAGGATAAATTCATGAGAGAGAGAGAGAGAGAGAGAGAGAGACAGAAGTACTCAGATACTAGAGTGCTGAGCACAATAGAAAAGCCGATAAAAAATAACATAAATAAGATGAAGTGGCGGTAATATCTCAGGAAGTTTCAAATGTGTTCCACAATAACAGCCTAGAGCACTAAATCCTACAACAATTTAAACACTTTTCCCCATTACACCAAAGTACTATAGCAATTATTATAAAGGAGGGTCACCGGCACTGGGGCATTCCTGTAGTGTCATTTCATTCCGGGGGACAGGTTGCACTTTTAGACATAAAAAGTTAATTTATTGTTAAGTATGGGCCTAAAAGAACATCTAATTGTATTACAAGCACCACTGGGAAGTTAGCTACCTTTTGATACTGACAGGGCCGGCTCCAAGTGTTTTGCCGCCCCAAGCAAAAAAAATTTCCAGCGCCCCCCCCCCCGGCCCCGCCCCAACTCCACCCCTTCCCCGCCCCATTCCAACCCCTTCTTTAAATCCCTGACCCCGCCTCCTCCCCCGGGTGCGCCGCATTTCCCCTCCTATCCCTCCCTCCCAGGCTTGCCTGGGAGGGAGGGGGGAGAAGAGGAGGGGCGGCATGCTTGGGGAAGGAGGCGGAGGTGAGCTGGGGGGAGGGAGAGCAGTTCCTCTGCTCCCCCCCCCAGGTTACTTCCTGCAGCCCTCCCCGTGCCCCCCAACGCTGCAGCTCACCTCCACTCTGCTGCTCCCGAGCGCGCCGCCACCGCTCCTCTTCTCCCCCCTCCCTCCCAGACTTGCTGCAAAACAGCTGATTCGCACGGCAAGCCTGGGAGGGAGGGAACAGAAGCGGAGCGGCGGCGGTGCGCTCAGGGGAGCAGGCGGAGCGGAGGTGAGCTGCGGCAGTGAGGGGCGGTTCCTCTGCCTCCCCCCCCAGGGTTACTTCCTGTGGCCCTCCCCGCGCCCCCCACCGCCGCAGCTCACCTCCGCTCAGGGCCGGCTCCCAGCTTTTTGTGCCCCAAGGGGGGGGGAAAAAAAAAAAAAAAAAAAAAAAAAGAGGGGCCAGAATGCCGCCCCTTGGAAAGTGCCGCCCCAAGCACATGCTTGAAGCGCTAGTGCCCTGGATACTGAATCAGACTGAGTTCTGAATAGAATTCTCAAGGAAAGAAATGCTTTCTGCTCTGCTTTGGTTTCCAGGTTGAGTTATCAAATTACTTGAGCATATCAAGAAAACAGGCATTGAGGGGATGTTGAAGTTAGGGTTGGAAAAATGCTTTGTCAAAACCTTATTCAAAAGCCTTTTAAATTTTAGTAATTCTTCTGCCCTCCCTCAGATGAAGTATGGAAGTATGATCACCATTAACCCCAGGTTACATGATAGTGCTATTGTGGCTTAACATGAGTTTTTATTGTTTTTAAATGGAAAATTATTTCCATTCAGCAAAGTGCTTAGGAATATTAATAGCTGGGTGCATCTAGATAATGTACTGATGCTCTCTTGCTTTCCCCATGTATGAATTCCTTTTGCCTTGGACACTAACAGCAAAATTGAAATCAATGGCAAAAATTCTGTAGATTTCAGTGGCACTAGGATTTCACCTAAAGAGTTCACAATCACATATCACTGCTTCCACTGGGGTTGCAGAGAATCCAGGTGTTCTTTCTACCACATGAATCATTATCAGGTATCTCCATATTAGCCTCAACACTTATTCTGCCCAGTTACTTTAGCGACTATTTTTATAGTCATGATTTTTAACATTACTTTTCCCCACTTCATTGCCTCTTCCCTCTCCACTTTCTTTGCATAGCTTCACTAAGTCAATCTGTGGCTTTTAATTGCTTCTAACAACCCAGAGAAACATCCTAAACCACTTGGATGTCTTCTGTTTTCCACCCCAATGCAGGCCTCCTGTTTGCCTGTGTTCTCAGTAACCCACAAGCCATCCCTGACTCTCCTCTCCTCCACCTAGCCCTTTTCTTCCCTTCTGACAACCTCCTTACCACTATTCCTGCAACTGCCCCTGCATTCAACACTAGCAAAATCTTCCTCCAGGTCTTCAGCTCCCTTCTAACTACTACAATCCCCTCCCCAATGGCTTGCCAGAGTCCAAGCAGACTACACCTCCATACGTGCAGAATCAAGCAGCTCACCTTCCCAAAGGAACAGAGAAGCACTAAACACAGAACTCCTCCTCAAAAACCTCCACTGGCTCTCCATTTATTTCAGGAGCCACTTAAAAATGGCTTTGCTTGTTTTCTGAACCTTCCATAAACTTGCTCCAGCCCACCTCATGGGCACAGTCTCTTCCTTCTTCTTGGCCCCTCTCCTTGTCTTGCACCAGATTTAGTCTCTGCCTTCTAACTCAGTCTTCCCACTCTCAGGCTAGGTCTACACTACTCGCCTGAATCGGCGGGTAGAATCGACCTCTCGGGGATCGAATTATCGCGTCTCGTCGGGACGCGACAATCGATCCCCGAATCGACGCTCTTACTCCACCAGCGGAGGTGGGAGTAAGCGCCGTCGACGGGAAGCCGCGGAGGTCGATTTTGCCACCGTCCTTACAGCGGGGTAAGTCGGCTGCGATACGTCGAATTCAGCTA